GTTAGAAGTTTGGGAATTGGTTCTGGCGAAGAATTGCATCATTTGCAAAATCCGTCGTTGTTTGACAAGAGTTTTCATCGGCGATCAAAGTGCTGATAGATATTCAAGTTAGACGTCAGTTAGGAAAAAATAAGTCATTAGCATACGCTATGAGATGACAGTCAAAAACTCTAGAACTACACATCCATAGTAAACTTTCACATATTGTTTTGAAAGGTTACTCAATGTTTTTAAGTAATTAAAAGAATTACATTACTGGCAGGCTATATAAGACTTCTATTATTCTTATATAATCTTGTCCCAAATTTTTATTTTCAAAAAGAAATTCCTATTTCCTAGTCTCTCAAGGGTGAAAATAGAAAACCTCAATCTGGCTTAGCAAATGAAAATACTTTTCGGAAACTGTCCCTAGAGGCCTTTTCCTCATCAATGTCTCTACTAAACACACCCAAAAATCTTAAAGAGCACATAGGGAATAGGAATACTTGGGTCAGATCTTACTCTCGCGGTCCAGACACCCAGAGGGAACTTAGGGCTCGTAATCGTCCATAATACTCTCCAATCACCAAAAAACATCTTGCAGCTTGCCGAACTGTCAGTATCCGGTGCAGTTGATGAAGGGTTTGTTGCCTTAAATTATCAGCCTGCAGTTCAAAATAACAAATCATGGAGTATGACCTCACAAATAAATAAAATATAAACAATTTGTCAAAAGGGTTGAAACCCATGAAGTTGTCTTATCTATGAGATTTGGACTATTTCAATTATAGGTTAAAAAATAGATCTTTTTAACATTTTTTCAACTAACTTATTCATATAATCTTGTCCCAAAATATTTAATCTTTTGTTGATAGGTCTAGCAAGGGCTTTTATTTCAATAGAAGCCATTGTCAAACCACCTTCAGATAGAAACGTGTTAGATGGAACACTGCATCAAACACTAGCATTCAACATGGTAAAATGACTTCTTCAACACAAAGCAATCGATATTTCACTACAAAATCATTTGCAGCACAATGAAATTACAATCCAATCAAGTATGCGATTGATAACTGCTATTTCAGTGTTATATGCTTACCACCTAACCTAATTAATGGAATTATATGAAAATCATAATGCCCGGTCATGTGGACTCCATCTATATATTAGTCTTGTACATACTAGTTCTAAATGGGAGACTAACTAAAAGAGCTTTGATTGGATTAATTTCTTTTCTTCATTATGGGCGATTCGGTCACCTACATAGACTGATAATGTCACCTCAGTTTTCTATATGACCAACTCTCAAACAGTCTTTACACTTATTAAAGTCATTTGATAAACCATTGACAATATTGTTACTTCAGAAAGTAGTAGTCTCTTACTCTTGTGGTAGGTAAGGAAGTATTCACAATGACAACACATTTGCCTTTTCCTCTTAGTATGGCACCGCTGAGATATCATTTTCATCACATCTTAGGCAGTTTTGGAAGGAAAGGAGAGCAGACTGGACTATTCCACAATTATTTTATATTTTTACTGCATCCCTTTCACGGTAAATATTATAGATACCAACAAATCAAAAGGCAATTACTTGCTACAATGCATGTTAAACAACAAAATATAAGAGTAAAAAGTTGTCCGGATAAGGCAGTTATGCACTAATGCAATGGGTTTACCTGACGAACAAAACCTTCAAGATTGGTTAGCTTGCCAAGAGCAACAACCATATGATGCATACCATCATTGATAGACCCACTAGCAATCGTGTCGATAAGGGACTGTTGAAGCTGTTCTAATCCTTGGGTCAGGGCTTCCTCTGCTTGTTGTGAGGATTGCTGGAGGTTGTAAATCCCACGATTTGCTGCTCGGTTAATGGATCTAATTGTGGTATTAACATCTGAAATAAGCGTCAAGCCAAAAATAAGTTAGAGAAAGACATCAATAACTGAATCACTGAGATGGCTGGGTTAAATAATGAAAAAGTGGTACTATGAAGATCAAATGCAGATACAAATATTGTTCTATTCATAACTGCGATCTACACGAATATATTCTAGAAAACAAGTAGTAGCTTAATTTCAACCTTAATTAGCTCAGATGGCCGAAAACCACCCATCCAGAGGAAGCACCGTTCAGCTGGAGTAGTCCACATTCCAGTAATAAGGTGGAAAACATCAGATTTGGCAGCCAATACCTTCAGGCGGAAAATTTCATCATAATGGGCAATATAACCATCTACAATCACCCTGAGATCGCCATCAGATAAATGTGCTTGCAACCCCATTCGAAGCTCTGACATGAGCCTGTGGTCATCATCTAACCATCTTGAATATTCCATGTCAAATATTGCAGCACCTGAAATATTAGCCAGTGAGTCTTTGATACTTACTGCAATTTAGGTATAAAGGTGATCTCCATGGTTAAAGAATTTTTAGTGAACAGTTTAGGTAGGTGCTGAAGTATAAAATTTTATAGCTTTAGGAGTATGTCGTTTGGACATGCCCAAAAGTAACATCCATACTAGGAGAATTAGTGAACAATTTCTGGTAGATGCTGTAGAGGAAATTTTACGGCATGGAATCTTGGCAAAAACATGAACCTGTACTAATTACCAAACGATTTGGACAATGTTTTTTTTATCCTTTTGAAAGTATTAGCAAACTTTTGTCGCATTAATATATGATACTTTTGCCTTAACTCTTACGAAAATGAAAAGAACAAATAATATAACACAACTTCTACTCAAGACTTTACTTGTCATCAAGCCAGTTCAGAAACTTAGAGCTCCAAATATTTGAAAAAAGACAAGTCTGTGTAGATCTTATGGGGATCCAATCTCATCCATTTTGTCAAAATGATCAATGTCGGTAATTGACGATTACACAAATAGACTGTTGCCATAATTTGACTGAAAATAAAACGTGGAAAATTTAGACTGAGGGTGCACCAACCTATGGTCATTACCAGCAAATTAATTAATAACACAAAGTCATACTTCCAATAGGGAATGCCAATAAATTTCTTTCTTAAAACATGTAGCAAAGGATAAATCTATTCATTACGAAAATAAGCACATGCTGTGAATAACAAGAGTTTTGAATTTGACAATTGCTCTTTAACATAAATTCTAGTAACCATTGATTACCAGGAATATACTACTAAGTCTTAGAAACTATGATAGCCATGGATTACCAGGAATATATATTATAGCAGTACTTAGAAACTATGTGCCTAGTACCTAAACCTGGAAAGGCAGGTCTTAATTTGTAAGTACATGAAATTTCATTCTTCCCCAAGATAAAACAAAGAATTTCCCTCTGCACCCACTATCCATAGAAAAGACCCAATAAGAGATGGGTATTTTGGTAAAATCACTGTAGACATATTGGACTCACCAGAGCTTATGTTCCCAGAGACACCACCACCTCCTCCAAAGTACAATCCCTGTTAAGTGTTCACCAAAGAAATCAATCATAACCCACCAATAAAATAGTAAAGATTATGATTTTATTTATTAATTTGCAAAAATGTTTTTAAGTTAAACTGTAAGAACCTGAGACCGAGCACGTTGAAGGTCTTGCTCTAGCTGAGTGAGCCGTAACCTACTTGACTCTAGCTGCTGTACATAGGCCTGTCCAGCACAAATACACAAGTACAGAGAGAGACAGGCAGAGGGAGAGAGATAAATGGGAAGTGAGATGGTAGAATTTCAAGAAGGAAAGTTTGCCGGAAAATGGAACTTCCGGGTGACATACTGTCACCGGAAACTGACACGCACCTTTTTTCTGAGCCTGCTCTTCTTTGCTGCTTCTCTATTTTGAGCTAAACGTCTCGATGTCTGTGACCAGTGAACACATTTTTAGCTTCAAGTCTGAATCTTTTTTTGAACTAGTTTAAATCCAAAGAATATCCAGAGAAAAATCAAAGAAGAAAAGCTTGGCCTTCAAACAAAAACAAAGACCAGCAGCAGCTAACACACACACCTTAGCATCGAGTACTCTGTCTGATGTAGAACCAACACCCTTTCTCTGCAACATTCAGGAGAAAAAAACCAGTAAAATTAGTGTTCATTTAAGCTAGAGACACCCTTCTGGAATAAAATTTACAGACCAGCAACTACACTACTACAGTAAGTTTTTTCTTTATTTATTTTTTTTTTTGGGGAGGGTGTTTGTATCTTTGTGAAGATTGTATTTTCATGAACAAATTTGTAATGATTAAATGTTGATGTGAGTACTGTTTGAAATGTGATTATGTGAATACTGTTCTTCAAACAAGGTGAAACTAATGATGACGATGATTATAAGATAGACCAATGAAACATCATAATCTCCGAGTTGCCTAGATTTGGTTGCTCTAATTCCGAGGTAGATTAAGGGCGTAAAAAAGGAGAAGTTGAACTACTGTTCTGGGGATTGAGTAAAAGGGTCATTATTATAATTATAAATAAGAAAAGAAAGGGCGGTAATTCTACTGTAAAGCTTGTATCTTTTCTTCCAAATAGATGTGGTACAAGTCTCTCTCATACTCTCAGTTCAGGTCAGACATAAAAAAAAGACCATCAAAAGAACCCTGCCTTCAATTAATTTTCTGGCAGTTGTTGGGATCTGTGATATGTCTAGAGAGAGAGAGCGAGTAGAGTTGGCATTAGAAGATGCCACCTTTTTTCCTGAGCTTTTGGGATATGATAAAGAGGAGAATTGGGAGAATAAAAATAGTTCAGGAACCTTTTCTGAGTTGATATTGGGAAGTGGTTGAGTCTGTGATACTCCTGTTCTTGGGCTGTCACTGGCCATCTCTCCTTGGTGCTGCCGTAGTTGGTGGTGTTTGTGGTTGATGAAAATGCTTCTGATCAAGAGCCTGATGGTCTGAAGATGCCTTTCTACTTATGGGTGATTCTGGCTCCAAATGGGCCTCTACTTGACTTGAAAGTGTGTTAGCTGCTGACCCTGAATCAGTACTCTCTCCTCCTGATTTTGAACTCCCCTGAATGAGAAAAAAGACCAACAAGATGATTCAACTGGTTATTCAAAAATTATTCAGAAATTCACGGTATCTTACCCCCCCCCCCCCAAATAAACCCTTTTTTCCCAATGGGAACTCAAAAATTACCCCCCAGATCACCTCCAAATTGTCACTTATCTCATAGAATACTATAAGAAAAACCACACCCTGATAGAAAAGTTCAGCAGAGGTTCTTTTTATGGAGTTCTGTTGAAGTTACTTATTTGTTTGTTTGAGGCTGTGAGACCATATAGAAACACGAGTCAAAGATAGGAGAGAGTTGAGGAAACTACTACAGAGGTGCGTTGGAATCTCATAGGCCAAGAAGGGAACATCTCCAAAGTAGCTGCAGGCTTGGCAGTGTATAAAGCTGCACAGAATCACAAAAGTAAAATCTCTGAGGATCAGCAAAAACAAAACTTGTAAGACTTTCAAAACTCATAAAAGGGGAGGAACCTAATCCCCCTTTTTTCGTTTTCCCTGCAGTTATGGAGTCAGTAAATCATGCACAGAGGTCAGGTTTCCTTGTATACATCCCCACGCCATTCAAATCCCTTGCCCAAGAATGATTACTGTATTAAAATGGCAAGTTCCAACCCCCACCCCTCTGGCCTCTGTAAGACATATTCAAACCTCTCTCTCTCTCTCTCTCTCTCTCTCTCTCTCTCCATCTGCTGTTAGGAGTTGGTTAGACTTGGCAAACGTCACAGAAAGAAGAGAGGGCACAGAGAGAGCAGCCTACGTGGTTTAGCTTCATCATGGTGGGTTGTAACTCCTTGCAGCGCAATAGCCTCCTCCAACTCTCCAAAATCAAAAGCAGATCCTTCTTGATTACTGAGACAAAAAAAACAAAAACCCATGTCAGAAAGGAACAGAGAGTTCATGTTAAATCAATCAAATTTGAGAAATGAAGAAAACCCAAATAGCAATTAATCCAAAAGTTTGTGTTTTCAGAACAGAAGTAAAAATTTGTGAAGACCCATGAAGAGATTAGTGAACCTACTTGAAGCTTGTATTAGTCGGATTAAGGCTATGAAGAACTGCATATGAGAGATGGTGGTGGTGGTTTGAAGGTCCTGACTCATACAAACCAGTCTCTCCAATTCGATGAGTCGCCATGCAAGTCCTTTTCAGACCATGCTTATCAGAGCAGAAACTGCAGTACCCAAATGATCAAAATGAATGAACAAGAAAAGAAACAAAAGAAAACAAACTGTTTTTTTTCTTGGTAGAAACAGGGGAACCGGAAAACTACTAGCTGAAATTTTCTCCATGTTTTACCTCAGTTTGCTGTGGACTTCTAAATGACAAAGTCCCTTCTGGAGCAAAACCCAACTGAGAGAAGAGAGAGAAGAAACAAAAGATCAAAGCTTTCTTGTCAAAAGTACATCTAAGTAGCCACCACAAGAGGGTCCTCCAGTCTTTTTCTCAAAACTCTCTTTCTTTCTCTCCTGTTTGTCTCTCTTTCAGCATTGAACCCTTTGCTCTCTCACGGGTCTTTATCTTCTTTCTTTTCTCCTTCCCAACGAAGAAACCTTATTCATTAGTCTGTTTGGACTGCTTTATCTACTTGTGCAGTAATTATTATCAGATTTGAAACTCATCCCACAGTACAGAAAATCTTGTCCTTGCAAACCTGTCTCAGCCCTCTGGCTTTGTGGGGTTTGAAAACAAAAACAAAAGTATTTTTGTACATAAAGAAAAAGGTGGGACCTTCAGCAGGAACCCACTAGAATCACTGACTCCTACTCCACTCTCTCTCTCTAACCGCCTGTGCTTTCCCATTGGTCCTTTTATTGAGCTCTTCAGTGGTTCTCCATAGAGGTGAGGGAAGTTTTTCTTTTAAAAAAATAGAAAGGTATAAAAGATGAAGAAAATGATGAGGATTAAAGGTGTTTTCTCAAATTTTTATACCATTTTTGGGATTGAGTTGTGAAAAGTAGTTCCACAACTCATGCCTAGAGAGAGATGAACTAGTGAATTCAAAATTTGGCTTGTTTCATTTCAAGCAAAACATTGCAATAATTAATCCAGACAGATAATTCAATGGTGCATGATTATTTTTGGGACTTATCATAAACTCAAATATTATGAATTCGATCATTATTATTGACTCGATTTAATTGAAACACGATTAACTTGTTATTTAAAATATTCAAAGTTTGTGTTACAAGGGTGAGTTCACTATAATTTTATTTTATAGAATTCACTGATCATCAAAATTATTATAATAATCACGAATGGAAAACCTACTTGTATTTTAAATCAAAGCCTTAGTGATTGATTTATTTGGTATTATCCCCTCTAATTTGTTGATGGGTCAACATCCATTCCCTGTCATTACCTAAAACCATGCTACATCAAGATTCCTTTCTAATAATAGAAATTTGTTTCATTGATGCTCAAGGGTACAGCTCAATGGCAGAGTGCAGTTCATTATATGTTCCTCATACTCATAGTATCCTTATCCCACATAAATAAGATGCGGTTTGTGTGCTTTTGTGGTTGTGGTGTCCTAAGCTGTGAGTAAAACCCTTGTGGCTAATCTTGACACTGCCCTTTACTGTCTTAGAGAGGTTAAGGATTTTGTTTTGATTCTAGGTAGTGATTATGGATATCCATGACCATCATTATAGAGAAACATATATCAATGTGTGTGTATATATATATATATATATATATATATATATATATATATATAAAGAGAGAGAGAGAGAGAGAGAGAGAGAATTAGGTAATGGATCCATGGTCCCTTTCATGAAGAGTTGGATGCAAATATTTTATGTTGTGGTCATCTACCACTTTTTTAGGTAAATATACCCCTTACCAATTATTCATTCCTAAAACCAATGATTGGCTAGAAAAGTTAAACCAAATAGATAAGTGGCTCATGGATTAGGTATGTATTTTCATGCTATTTCTTCTATTCTCAAAGTAACTCACAACATGTTTTTCAAATGGAGATAGTGAAGGATTTTCAGACTGGGGAATTCCATAAATCTTCAATTTCTTTCAACCATCTCAGTTCTTTAATGTTCCATTGCTTCTCTCTCTCTCTGTAAAAAAGCTGGTTGGAGTGAATCATATCTAAAAATGTTGCCTTTGACCTCACAATCTTGTTGAGTTAGATTTAGTCATTGATTGTCAATGTATTCAATGGACCCTTCAGTGGGAGAGAGCTCATGCTGGTGGCAATTTGCAAATAAACAAGTTGTTGTTTAGAACCTCCTAAATTCTGTATACCCATTGACTTGTAAAATAAAAACTTGCAGGCTTGGTTCATGCGTTAAGATTGATTTATTCCTGTTGGTATTAAAATATAAATGACTACTTAATAATCTTATTATACTTAACCTCACTTGTGATATTTAGTTCGTATACAACATCAGATGAGATTGGCCTATCCTATTCAATTCATTATCTTCCAACCAGAATAACCGGTCAAATTTTTCATCCCATTTAATGTTTGAATCGAGGTTACTGTGCGTGCAAGATCCTGCACAATATAAAAAACGAGAACAGATCTCTCCCCTGGTGAACTTCGAATGAGCCAGTTGAGTGACCAACCACGCTGCTTGGAACAACCTGCGAGGTCCGGTGGTAACCTGGAACGGCAACGAGAGACCCTGGGGGAGTGGAAGAACGATCCAGTAAGCCTGAAAGGGGTTCCTGGAACAAAGAAGAACAGGTTAGAAGGGCGCCAGAGTGTTTTCTGGCGTATCCCCTCCGACGATCTAGTCAGTCTTTGAGAGAGAGAGAGGAAGGAGAAAACACTGAGTGTGTATTATAGTATAGAGTTTTTGGTTGCATACCCGTCTTGCCTTTTACAAGGGGTATTTATACCTCAAAAGCTCATGATTGCTGTCAGTGTGGTCAGTAGGTGATCATTAGGTACAGGCAGTGTGCGCACTGATTCTGATGAGGAATGTCTTCTCTTCTTAACTGCTTGGGGTCCCGAGCAATCAATGCTGGGTCATCGGGATGCCGACGGTACAATGTGCTCCTCTCGGGGAGGATGCAATAAATGCTCTGTATTAGGAGCATTTATTGCCTTTCATTTCCGAACCTTACCGCATTGAATGCGGTCTCATCAAGGGAATGGTGCAATTAATTGTTTGCTTTCCCATGTCGCGTGTCAGCAACGGCATGCGGTTTTCTGTCTTCGATGTGATATCATACGCCACGTGTCCATTTCCTATTGGCTGTGACCCCTGTATTCTTGTACGTTCTGACATTAATTGTGTAAGACGAGGTCATGATGAATAGCCTAGACTAGCCTAGGCTAATGACCTGTACGTCAATAGCTTATCCTTGAGTAGAGGAGGCGTCCTGGACGGGTACTCCTCGGCACCGAGGGAAGGATCATCTCGGCACCGAGGTAGGGGACACCGACCGAGGAACCATATCAGACCGAGGCCACGTGTCGGTGTAAAACATACTGAATGTATAATCCTATATGACGAGTACATCGGGGGCGAGGGCTTTGTGCGCCGATGGTGCTTGATCTTAGCGACAGTGTTTTAGTAATACCGAGGACACGTGTCTTCATCACAGAGTATTTCAGAAAAGTCCCATCAACTGCCCCCCAGCCTTCGATCTTCTGACACCGAGGACACGCGTCGTAAGGAGACGAAGGGTTTCCCAACTACCACCAGTACTTCATCATTGCCTCGAGCCGCTTTCCCCGGCTTGGGATGTCGTGCGCATTAAATGCGCCGTTTCGTTTTTCGCGCCCAATGATGAAAATTCCTCTATATAAAGGGGTCTCCTCTTCCGTTTTCCTAGTTTTGCCGTTCCGAACTTCCTCAAGAGAGCCTCTTCTTGAATCTTCGCCGGAGATTTGTTTCTTCTTCCATCGTCGATTGCCCATTCTTCCTTAAAGTCTTAAAGCTAGCAGACCCATCGTTGCTTCTGAACTTTCTGGAAGGAGTCGCTTTAAGGTTTTCCAGAAAAAACTCCGTTTTGACATTCGGGTGAGTTCCAGTATCTTCCTTCTTTTCTTCCTCCTATCCTTTTGTTTTCCGATGACTGGAGGTGTCTCCGGTTGATACGTAGCGATTTAACCCTCAGGAAACTTCCTCAGGAATTTCCAAGAACAAATACCCTCTTCTTTCTCACTTTTTTAGAGATGCCTCGTCGTCGCCCTGCTCCCGAGAATCCTCAGGCTGGTTCTTCGGGTCGGGCAAATATAAAGTAAAGGGTGGTGAGCAGATTGATAGGTTTAAGGTCAAGTACGGCATTCCCCCGTGCGTAGACGTAAAGGATTATAACCCGGTGGTGCACTCTTCTACCCTCGGGGCCGAGGATGCCATGCCCTTCTATAATAAGGCCATAATAGAGGGAGGAATTAGGTTTCCTTTACCCCCCTTACTTCTTCAGTTCCTTTCTCATTTCCGCCTCTTCCCCGGGCAATGTTGCCTTAATGTTTTCCGAATAATTATGGGGGTCTTAGAGCTCAATAGGCGCCTCGGGGTAAATATTGGGCTCAACGATCTCCTTTTTTGTTATTCCCTCCTGAGAGTCATGCCTCACCAACACTTCTACCTCAAAGCCAGGGACCCCTCTATGTACCTTGTAACTCATCTTCCCGACTCGGACAAGGGGTACAAGGATGATATTCTTATCTTCAAGGGATCTTGGCAGAGAGGTGTTGGTCCCGAGTATAATGACTTGTTATGCCCTCTGGAATGGAGAACGACAAGTACGTCGGTTCCTTTGGGTTTATTATTTCTTTCTCCAGACTTCCCATGTTCATGACTACTTTTTTGTTTGTGCAGATATTCCTGCTCGGGAAACAGCTCCTCCCCCTCGGTCGCTGGTGAACTTTGCCGACCTAATCACGGTTTGGAGATTCACGGGTGACGACGGGTTTGGTCGGGCTGCCCACGTCCTGCTGAATTATACCCCCGGGTATAAGAAATTTTCACAGCTTCCTCAGCCTTTTGAGCCTTCGCGGTGGTCTGAACTCTTCGATCAGGCGGCGAGGTTAGAGGTTGAGGAAAACTTGGAGGAAGACCCGGATCGGGCTTCGGAGGCAGAGGTAGAGGGAGTTGCTGAAGAGCTCGGGGTCAGAGAGGACGTTGTTCCTTCGGACGCCGAGGTGGGGACTTCGGGAGGAGACTTGTGGCCAGACTTCCAAGTTCTTCAATCCTTAGACGCCGAGGACGCCCTCGAGGTCGCGATGTCCAGCACGCCTCGCATCGACCTGGGGTTCCTGAGGCAGAGGCAAGCCCTTGCAGCCGGGAGGGGTCGAGGATCGACCGGCGGTGCCCCCTCTGCAGGGACCAGTTCCACCCCATCCTCAAGAGTTCTCAGTCGGGGTCAAGTGCGTGACCGGGATCCTCAGGTAGAGGAGGAGAGAAGGGTCAAACATCGGCACGATGGCCTCGGCCGGGGATCCAGGGCACCTTCCGCTCAGCAGCAAAGCGGGAGAGGCCGTGGGTTACCCCCTGCTCCTCCACAACAGCAGCAGCAGCAACAGCCACGACAACAG